TGGGCAGAGAAGGTGCGTTGCGGTGGTCGTACCACAGGAGACACCAAAGTGCACATTAGAAGACCGAGGCCAGACCTGGGGCACTTGCTCATCAGGTAATGCAAGGCCACCAGTGCCCCAAGGGTGTTCCTGGGCTCAAATGTGGGTTCCCTTGGAAACTAAATGTCAACAGGAACCAAATGGCAAGCAGGCACAGGGGGCAGATAAAGAAAGGGAACAATTCCTTAGTTGACCCCTGGAGCTGTGTACTGACTGTGACCTCTCTCCCCAACAGCCACCAGCTCCCTCCCTCCAACCAGTCCTCTCCTCGAGCAGGTGGGCAGGTAGCCATTCCCTGAAATAGCCACGTTCCCCTTCAACTGTCTCTCTCACTCTGCTGACTGTTCCCACCACCAGAAAATTCCTTGCGTATCTGTTTTTGACTGACTGTCCTCCCCACACCAAGCACGCGGGGCAGGACCCAGGCATAGGAGGCGCCCAGTCCCCGTCCGCTGGGGAGCAGACACCCTGAGGCCACCAGGTCAGCCCGTAAGAGGCTGGCGTGAACAATACTCCTATCCTTTTCAGGGTAGGAACCACTCCCCACAATTCAAGCTACAGACACAGAAGTCTCAACTTAGATGCCCGCAGAGAAACAGCCCCACCCCTGGGGGCTGCCTACTTGTGAGAAAGTGTAAGAATCACCCCACACCCGACCAACACTCCACAAAAGCGGCATCCAGTGGACAGGATTGGAGAGGGGGCACCGAGATGGGCCATCACATCTTCCCCAACTACAAGGGCTCAGGGACAGCCCCCCCCCCAATGCCTAATATCCCCAAATAACCGGAACAGCTCCTACAGCCATGGCTTCTCCTGCACTCGTCTTGGTCTGTCAGAGGCCCCAGCAGTCCCCGGACAGAGTCAGATGTGTGCACGCCTCCCTTCTGATGCCCAGTGTTGGTCTTGTATCTAGTGACCAGGGCTCAGCTCCAAGCCTATCCTCCTCCGGCTCTGGCCTCACCAAGCTAGGTTCAAGGTCAGCACCACCCCTCCCTGGCTGACTGGTCTTGGGCAGGTCCCAGCAAAGTAAAAGGCAGACACTCCCCATCCCTCACAGGATGGGAACCAGCCCCAGCCTCAGGGGCCCACTCTACCCTATCCCCTAAAGGAGAGAGCTGGGCTAGGCTGCAGCCAGAGAAACTGTCCCCTGAGGCACTCCTGGCCTGATGGGAGGTGGCTCCTCTGCCCACACAGAGGGCACACAGACCTTCCACGGCATGATGCCACAGATGTGAACCACCCTGCAAAACCCCGTGCCCGGGTGCTCCCCTCACTGTGGCGAGCGTACTCCAAATCCATGATCGAATCCATGATTGCAGCCTGGCTGAGAGGTCTCTCCAGACTGCTTCTTGAGGAACGGGCCCGGAATCTCAGGTTCCCTGGCGCCCTACACAGCAGCCCAACCAACAGGTACAAACCAGAGGCACGAGTTCAGGGGAGGTGGTGTCTGGGTACCCACCCCTCTACTCTTTCCTTGCTGGGACCAAGTTCCTGAACTTTTGGGGTCTGTTTCCCTGATGAGTGAGTGTAAGTTCAAATACCTGCCTACCTCTAGGACTGCTCTGAGAGCCATAGTGGCAGGGGAGACAAGCTGGGACACGGCCTGGAGAGGTCCCCAGCCTCATCCTAGAGCTGAATGGAGCTGGGCACGTGCAGACGGGGCCTGCTCACCCACAACCTTTTCCCACCAAGACCAGCACCACACATGCGCACGCATACACACGCACACAACACACAGGTCTGAATCACCTATGGCATCTGATGCCACAAGAAGACCTAAACTAGGTAGAAACTTTCTAGTCACAACTCTGCTCACTGTTCCCCCTGGTCCAGCAGAGGGCTGATGGCTTAGCAGCTGAAGCAGGTTCCAGAGGGCCTGCTGGGCAGGGCCTCCCCTCCTGGGGCTGTCCTGGCCCCACTCTCCCATCTTCTACCACCTAACCAGTCCTTCCAATGCCTTCAAAGGCTCTTCCTCCCAGCATCCCACCTGGTCTCTGCAAGCTCCCATTTCAGGGCAGAGGCTGCCCCATTCAACCCTACACTGCTCTTCCAGGCTGCACATCCAAACTCCCTCTGCCTCCGGGACAGCTGTCTGTCTACAACCCCAGCTATCACCCCCATCCCTCCCAATGCTCCCACCAGACTCAGGAGCAGCACAGTGTCATGGCAACAGTGCTAGGGGCTGAATCCCAGCTCCACCAAGGGCTGGCTGGCTGGACTTAGGAAGCTCCTAGAGTTCTCTGAGCCTCAGTTTCCTCAAATGTAAAATAAGAATAGAAGTTCCTACTTCAGAGTTGTTATTGGGATGAAATGAGTCAACACACAGGCAAAGCCCCAGTCCCTCCTCATTAACAAGGATGATTTATCTCGATGATTTATCTCTATCAGCAGCTGCACACCAGGCCTCACTCTACTTCCCTCACAACCCATCCAACCGCCAAGTCAGAAGCTCTTACCTCCATCCCAAGGCCACAGCCCTAGTCAGTGGCCAGCTCAGCTGGGGCATGAAGTTCAGCTCCACCTGAGTCTCCCTGTCTCCAGGCCTGGTCCCCTCCAATCCACCCTGTGCTACCACAGTGAGCACCACACCCAATATGGACCAGTTAGCTCATTGCCCAGCCCCAACCTTTAAATGGTGGAGGTTCACCACACTCCTTGGTCTACCTTCCTGTAATATTTTACATTTCCCTTAAGTTAAAAAATAACCCTCAGTGGCTCCCTAACAGCACAAAAGGAATTTTAAAAACAGTTCAAAGGTGTATCGTTAACAAAAGATCTAGTGAGGAACAAAAGTCACTTAATCAAAATGTAACTCCAGCCAAAAAAATTCTATGAGTTCTCCAGGGGGTCCCTTTAGGGAAAAGCCTAAAGCATTTCCAGACAGAAAAGTGACTCTTGAACCATAATTCAAGGTGATGTGAAAATGTGAAAGATGGGGAAAGTCCACACCAGGGCACCCACCGTCATCAGGCCTGACCCCCACCACCATAACAAATGAGGGGGCACCCAGGCTCACCATCACTGAAAAGAGGCACTGCCCCTCCAAGGAGCCCCTTTGGGTTTTCACGAGAACACAGAGGGTAACACGATCCCTGCCCCACAATCTCCTCCCCTAACCACACATTCTACCCCCCCACCCCGCCCCCAAGTCGCGCCCCTGCTGGACACAGTCTGTCCCAGACCAGGGAGGCAGCCTGCCTACCTGCGAGGGCTTGCTGGACCCTGCTGGGTTTCGGCATCTGCACGGGCACTGTGGCAGGGACGCTCCCGGGGCTGCTTGCTGGACCGCTGGGGAGGGAGGCACTGGGGGAGAAGAAGGAGCAAAGCTTACTGTGCGGAGCTGACTTAGCAGAAACAAGAGCCAGAGAAACACCGAGTGAGGGACACACTGGTGCTGCCGAGGCCCCTTGGTGGTTTCACTTCCCACAGCCGCCTCTGAGTGAGTGAGGACTTCTGTTTTTCTTTTTTGAAAGATCCTGATAAAGAGTATCTGGAAGCAGCAAAGAGATCTAATTTTCACCACTCTCAGACCCACACTAACCTAGACAATCGGAATACTTAAGATATTAAGCCCAAAGCCATGACCGCCATCACTTCTGCAAATGTCAAGTGACAAAAGTCAAAAGTCCAAGTCTGGCACCAGGGAGGACAAGGATGGCAGGCAGGGATGGGACAGTGACATGGACAGACACTGCTGGGGATGAGCCTCATCTTTTTACAAGGTCGCGAGAATGAAGCTTTAGCTGTCAAAAAATGTTTTCTTGGACATGCAGAGACTCTGAAGACAATCTTAAAAGAATTTTGAGCTTGCCAGCTTCATCAAAATGAGAGCTCTACTGTGCCTGCAGAGGAGCAATCTAACAGAAACCACTCCAAGTGATCAAGACCAATACCACCCGTAATATGACCAACCCACAACAGAAACCCTGGGAAAAGATGCTCTGAGAAGAAAATAACACCTTTTTTTGTGGTTCCTGCCAAAATGACATAACCTCGGTCCAATCATGAGAAAACATCTGATGACCCCAAATTAAGCGATGCTCAACAAAGTAACTCTTCAAAAGTGTCAAGGTTATGGAAGATGAAAGATTGAGGAACTGTTCTACCCACAGGAAGAGGAGGAGGAGGAGGAGAAATGACAGCTGGATGCTGAGTGGGATCCTGGGCCAGAATGAGAATAGTGCAAAAACTGCTGAAAATCAAAAAAAACAGTCTTTTGCTAACAGTCCTGCACCAGTGGTGAGTCTCTGGTTCTGACAACTGCACTATAGTTATGGAAGATGTTAACCAGAGAGATCAAGTAAGGGAGATACAGAAACTCTCTGTACTATTTTTCTAACTTTTCTGTAAATTCAAAATTAATTCAAAATAGAGGTTTTTTTGTTTGTTTTATTTAAGTGAAGGTCTTGCTTCCCACAGTGACTATGTTCAAGTCTCTCACTTGGCTTTAAGCCACTATATTTTGAAATGGTAATAAATCCATGCCATTATGGTTTGTGGGGAGCCCCGAACTGGAGAACAGTTGGTGTAGATGGCCTAGGAGGTCTGCTACCTCCTCCCCATCCCAGTTACTGTGTCCTACAGTCCAGCCCTGCCTCTATTCAAGATGGTAAAACAGGAGAGGTTAGGAAGCCCTTCCATACAGTCCCTACACTGGAGCTCCCCGAGGACAGGGCCTGGGTCGGTCATCTCTGTCCCACTGGGCCCAGCCCAGAGCCAGGAACTGGGAAGGTGCTCAGCAAACAACGATGGCTCCAGCCTGCTGTGCTGGCCTTACAGCTGCCAGCAGACCAGCCACCATACAGTTACAGCAAATGCTTCTGGAAGCTGCCCCAGATCCTTCTGTACCACCAGCCACAGGTCAAAGATTCCACTGGTGGACACCACAGGGAGCTGGTGGTTCTGATTCAAACCAGAAAATGTTACACTAGTTGGTTCTGATTTTCGTTTCTGGATTGCTCTCTCCAAACAGAATGACCTGTGCAGCCCCACTAATCAAACTGCAGTGTCCTGCCGTCCGCACCCACTTTCAGCCCTAAGAGAACAGTGGAACTGCAGCTGGCTGCTCGGATAATACAATTACGGGTTGGCTGTGCAGGATACGTGAGCTAAGGTTTTGGCCCCACTAAACTCTGTTTAATTTGGAGCCACACTCCACCCTCTTCCTGATCCTGTTTCTCTGAATCTCAGGTTTATCTTCCAAGCCAACCCTACAGGGAACACTGAGCTGAGCCCTCAGCCAGGAACCTGGAAAGCTGAAGCCTGGCTCCACAGCACCACTGTACTATTCAGCGGGCTGGGCATCACCGGCCCAGCGGGGATCCAGGAAGCAAGGCCTTCCTTCCCTCTGGAGAGGCACATATCTGAGGGAGAAGGCTTAGTTTCAGGTTCCACCACCAAGAACTAGAGCAGAAAGCAGACGGGCAGTAAGGCTTCCAACAGGCAGCTTACCCTCACGCTGGGACCAGGAACCATGACCAAGTTCTATCTGCTTAGGGGTCTCATGATGTTGACGCTTCCCCTGTGACTTTCCCCAGCTCCTCCCCCATACATTTCTCTGCTGTGATCAGAAGGAACAAAGCAGTAAAAGGATCCAGTGGTTCCCAAGATGAGGACCCTCAGAGGTGAACAGAACCTCAGAGGTCACCGATCCCCCTCCCCCATCCTCTCAGGGCTCAGACTGGCAGAACGTTCCCCCATGTGGGGCACCATTTGCCCATGAAGTGCCCTTCTGAGAATTCCCTTCAGTCTGCTTCAGGTGTCCCTCCTGCCTCTCCAGTTCCTGGGTCTACCTACTAGGCCCTCCCTGCCTTCCCCGTCTGGAACCATCTCCAGGAGCTTCCAAATGGAGCTGAGAACACAAGACATGAAAACTCCAAGTCTTCTACACTGACAGGATTTGACAGTCCCAAGCAGGGGGCAGAGCTAGGAGGCTGGAGAGTGGGGCATACAAAACCTCCTGCCAGCTCCCCACAGGCCACCACCAGCTGGGGAACCTCTGAGGATGTGCGGGAAAAGGAATATAAGACGTGAAGCCTGGGGACCCCAGTTCTAGCGCCAGCTCCGCTCAAAGCTGTGTGCCTTGGAGTGCATTGAGTCCCCTTTCTGAGTTTCACTTTCTCTCTCTGTAAAATGAAATAATTCCCAAAGTCCCCCAGAGTGGGTACGAGGCTCAATCTGCAGCCCAATCCAAATGTCTACTGTTTCCCAGGTCTCAGAGGAGCCAGGTGGCTCCAGGAGAGGGGCAGGGCCCTCACCAAAAGCTGAGAACTGTCACAGCCAGATCAGGGCGAAAGGAAATTTAGGACAGTGACCCGCCCAACTCAGTAATCTTAAGAGGGAGAAAAGAGAGATGCAGAAAGGGAACAGAGCCAAGACGAGGGACTACAGAGAGTGAAGAGCAAGGCCCCACTGGAAGCCAAGACACCAGTCACACAAGTCTAGAGAGCCTAGCCGACAGCAGGAAGGAGCAGGGTGCTTTCTGAGGTGGGAGAACAGCAGCAGCAAGAACAGAGCAGATGAAAGGAAACCCGGAGCCTTTCTTCCAGGCCGGTTCAGGGCACAGGCAAAGCTGCAACTGAGGGCTGGTCATAATCACCACCCCAAGTCATCAAAATGCTAAACCAGCCGGCACGCTTTCAATTAAAGAAACAAGAGGGTGCACGACATGTTTTGGAGAGTTTTCCATCCAACATTATTAAAACACAAGTTTTGGTGCTTGAAGGGATAAACTTCAGCTACCAGGAAATTCACTTAAACCCAGCGGCTCAGTGACAAATCGCGCATCTTCTCGATGGATTACTGTCTACTCAGAAAGCCTCCCGGGGCACGAGGCAGATCAGTCAGCCAAGGTTTTACCCAGATTGAGCGAGAAGTGATTTGAAACTACGTAGGTTCCCAAAAAAACACCACATCACAAATTTTGATTTCACTCACTCCTATGTCCTTCCCAGAAGCTACCAGTAAATACTGCCTGGTCTCAGGTTTCCCCAGTCTGTGGTGCTGCCCACCCCACCGCCTTCTCCTCCATACACATGGTAACTTTCACCTAACACTGTTGACACTCACTTGGCCTCGAAAACTATACCACAGCCGCTGGGGAGACTAAGGTGCCAAGTGTTTTCAATCCTCCCAGTCTCACTGGGTTAAGAGGTCAGGGGTTTATAAAGCCCCCTCTGGGTCTACAACAGCCACTAGAGAAGGGTTAACTGCAGAGGGCCACCCTACAAATTACACATGGAAGACTGTTTTTCAAAGCAGGGATCGGCCCATGCAATTGAACAACGCCCCTCCCAGCTCCTGAAAAACTGGAGGAGGTCAAGGTGAACACCCATGTTGGGAGGCAGGCCCCTCTGAGGCTGTTTCAACTAACAGAGCCGGCTGGCCTGGTTTTCTCCCAGTTTACAACACAGGGCGAGCAGGGCAGGCAGCAACACGCACAACCCAGCAGCGAAGGTAACGCCGTCCAGCCCGTCCACCTCCCCTTCTGTAACCTACCTGGATGGTACCAGCGGAGCCCACATTAGTAGCCTCTCGGGCCCTGAGGCTGGGGAGGGGAGACCCCAGAGAAACAAATATCAGGGGAGACCAATAGCCCTGTCTCAGAAGAAAGCAACAAAGCCCAGGAAGTTGCCTGGCTCAAGTCCAGAATCCCAGCTCTAGAACCATCTAGAAACTAGCTTCAGTTAATTCATAAGAACTTAAGTCCCAGAAGGCTAGGCAAAGCTGACCTATTCGTAAAAGCACCTCAAGTCCTGCTGATAACCCTTCTGGGCTGGCAGGCATGGCATGTTTTTTTCTAAAACAGACTGACCCACATTCTGGAAGGGGCCTCACAGAGTATTGGGTGGGCCTGGTTGGCACCGAGCCCAGCCTGCTTACGTCTCTGAGAAAGTCCACCGAGAAGGCCCAAGCAATGTGCTCTCAATTCCCAGAAAGATCTCAGATCCACATGCCCCAACTCCTCGGACAGCCAAGGAGGCAGGTGCTGGGTCTGCAGGCAACTGGGTGAGTCTTCCCAGGTAAACAGGAGCAGAAACTCAAGCCTGATGACCAGGGTGGACAAAACGACCGTCCCTGACACAAGATACCTGGCTCCACCGGCACTGGACGATCCTGGGGGCTGGTGCTGTGGTCCCAAGTGGGAGAGGCTGAAGCGGTAGAGGGGCTGGTTCCCCAGGGAGGGCGGGGCCCCACCCCAGGGGTTGGTGGTGTTCAGCCTGGGCGCAGACCTGGCCCCGGAGAGTGAGGGTTTGCTGTATGGAGCAAAGGCCTGGTGAGCCCCCAAAACAATGGCGGTCCTGTGGGGGGGCTGGGGGACAGGGTATGCAGGGAGGTTGGTCATGGAGTGGCGGTAGCGGCCTGATACTGGGCCAGTTCCACCACTATTGAGGCACTGATGGCAAGAGCAGGCGACTCCTGTGTGGCCTGGTGGAGCAATGACGGTGGTCACCGGGTAAGGGGGCCCTGCCTGGCGCCGCACGCTCCGGCAGAAGCTGGAAGTCTTGTTGGTCTGTGTGTGGGTGGCATAGTTGACGGTGTAGTTGTACCCCAGGGGAGCCAAGTCCACGAGCTGGTTGCCCCTGGCCACCTGCTGCTCCAGATAGTCACAGATGCTGGCTTCATATGCCGTCCAGGAGCCATCGTCATTCAGCCACTCCCAGACGATGCCCCGGCCCGGGGCTGAATGCTGGGGAAACAGGTGCCTCCGCACAGCCCGCATGGTGCCTGTTTTAAAAGGAGTATTGCACGTAAATGGTTAATCTTCTAGCCCCCCCCCAAAACCAAGTGGAGTTTTAAAATTCTTAGTTCCTACACCCAAAATAAAACAGTATGACCACAGTGGATAGATGAGTCATGCTGTTGTTTGACCTAAAGGCTGGCATTGATTATCCTTTCCAAATTTGGGGTGAAGGGTAGAGAGCTCGCTCTCAGGAAACAAAGGGATCAAGGGGCAGAGGGGGACCAGCGCTTCTCAGCAGGAGTAAGGGATGCTAGAAGCTTAGGTCAAAGAACAGCTGTAGCTTAGACTCCATGAGGCTTCTCAAAATATTCCTAATGATGAAACCTATGTAGCCTGACTTAAGAAACTGAAAACAGGACACTATAAATCTAGAAGAGAACACAGGCAAAACATTCTCTGACATAAATCGTAGCTTTATGTTTTCCTAGGTCAGTCTCCCCAGGCAACAGAAATAAAAGCAAAAATAAACAAATGGGCCCTAATCAAATTTATAAGCTTTTGCACAACAAAGGAAACCATAAACAAAACGAAAAGACAACCTACAGATGGGGAGAAATATCTGCAAACGATGAGACTGACAAGGGATTAGTTTCTAGAATATACAAACAGCTCATACAACTCAACAACAAAAAAAATCAAACGACCCCATCAAAAATGGGCAGAAGACCTAAATAGACATTTCTCCAAGAAGACATATAGATGGCCAACAGGCATATAAAAAGATGGAATGTCACTAATTATCAGAGAAATGCAAGTCAAAACTACAGTGAGGTATCACCTCACACGGGTTAGAATAGCTATCATTAAAAAGTCCACAAACAATAAATGCTGGAGAGGGTGTGGAGAAAAGGGAACCCTCCTACACTGTTGGCAAGAATGTAATCTGGTGCAGCCACAATGGAAAACAGTATGGAGATGCCTTAAAAAACTAAAAATAGAGTTGCCATATGATCCAGGAATCCCACTCCTAGGCATATATCCAGAGAAAACTCTAATTTGAAAAGATACATGCACCCCAATGTTCACAGCAGCACTACTTACAACAGCCAAGACATGGAAGCAACCTAAATGTCCATCAACAGATGATTGGATAAAGAAGACATGATATATGTGTGTACATATACACACACATACACACATACACACACACACACACACAAACACAAAGGGAATACTACTCAGCCAATTAAAAAAAGAATGAAATAATGCCACTTGCAGCAACATGGAAGGACCTGAAGATTATTATACTAAGCGAAGTCAGTCACAAAGAGGAAGACAAATATCATATGATATCAAGTGTATGTGGAATCTAAAAAAAGGATACAAATGAAGTTACTTACAAAACAGAAAGAGATTCACAGACATAGAAAACAAACTTACAGTTACCAAGGGGAAAGTGGGGGAGGATAAATTAGCTGATAAATTAGCAGATAACAAACCAGTAAGGATTAACAGATACAAATACTTTATATAAAATAGATACATAACAAGATCCTACTGCATAGCACAGGGAACTACATTCAATATCTTGTAATAGCCTATAATGAGACAGAATATGAAAAAAGAATACACATATGCATATATATATAACTGAATCACTATGCTGTATACCAGAAACTATTGACATTGTAAGTCAATTATAATTCAATAAAAAATGTTAAAAAATAAACTGAAAACAAAAATGTCTGAAGAGAATTAAGTCATCTGTAATCCAACCACCAAAAGGAAGGCACACAAGTTCTATCGCAATATATTTCATCCCACTTAGGCTTCTAGGCACGTGCGTTTGGGTATAGCTGACAATCACACTGAAGACTTTCCTGCTACTTTCACATATTACGCTGTAAGTATTTATGTCTCTGAAACTTCGTAAAACCCATTATTAACTGTTACACAATTCTCTCACATGGATGTACCATTCCCTCTGACTTCTCAGGTAGCAACTATTAGGAAACACCTGTGGTTAGCTTATATTTATTCTTAATAAGCCAAACCTGACGATCAAAGAGAGAAAAGAAAAATCAATTTGGGCCATGCCTCCAACAGCACTTGCCAAAAGGTGACGACTGCAATTACCTTCTACCTGGTCTCCCGACCTCAGCCCTTGCCTCCGACCACGGCAGCCAGAGGGATACTCTTAACCCCAAATCGGATTACATCACTCCTCTGTCCAAATCCTCCCAGGGCTCCTCCTTTCAGAAGAAAAGCTAAAGTCCCTTCGAGGGACGGAAAAGCCCTGCACAACCTGCCCCTCCCTCCTGTCCTTCCTTCAGGTCTGTCCCCAGCCCTTCCTGGTGACCAGGCCACCAGAACTCAAGCTTCAAATCAACCTCTCCCTACACTTTATACATCCACTCCCTGATAAACACTCGCTGCTGTCTAACATACAGTTCACACGTTATTCATCTTGATCGCTGCCTTTCACCATGACTGCAAACATCGTGAGGGCAGGGGCTTTGATCTGCATCCGCTG